GCAATTCTGCACAAGTGATGAACTCCCGGAATAGCCAACAAACGTCTCGTCCCATTACTACACAAAATAATGGTTTGACTGTAAGACTGACCCCAAACTCGTCGAGTTCTCCCAAACTGAACAACACGAACAGTAATTCCGGTATGTTTTATATTAAATTGATGTTTAATTTATATTTGACTAAATTGTTTGTTTATATTGTTTCTATAGAGCCGTTGAATGCAATCGGAAATGAGTGCAATGTTTGCTACGAACAGCCCATTAATAGCGTACTATACATGTGCGGACACGTGTGTATGTGTTACGAGTGTGCGGTCAAGCAATGGCGAGGACCGGGACAGTGCCCTATATGTCGAGCCGTCATTCGAGATGTGATTCGCACGTATTGGTCATGATTTGCCATTCATTAGACATTGAAATCAAACTAAAAGTACTGAAAGTATTATGACTTCAATTGTAACAATTCATCAACACTTGATTTTTATCAAAACCTATTTTACTCTTGTATTTAATTACCCGAACGTATGTCCCAATTATGTGGACATTTAAAGTCATTTATAGCACACATTAAATTTGATTTTTTTTATTACTAGTCATTCATCACAGAATTTTCATATAAATATTACAAAATTTTTAAACATGTATTTTAATGTCTTTATTCAATAGATTTGTTATAACTTTAGGTTTATTTAAACAAAATGTTATCAAAAATGTATGAAACGATTATTATTTAATTGAAAAAGCCTTTAAAACAAATAAAAAGTTATTCATAATTGCTATTAAATTGTGGTTTTTTTTATTAATTGATAACTCTTTTTAATGCATTATATATTATAATTGTTGTGAAAATAGTGTTATTTAATGCAATTAATGACTGAATTTATTAAATGACTAACAATTGTAATCTAATTGTCAATTGGCATCAAAAGTATGTCAAACAGAATAAGGGCTCAAATAATGAGTGAAATAATAACGATATTTATGAATGCATTCTATAATTGGATTCAATTTACAGTTCAGTCAATACAAACCAATTGTTTGTCTTTTAATTGTTAATTAGTATTAAATTGTAATCACTTTTAGTTATAGTTTTGTTGTTATAATTGTTAACTAATTGTCGGCCAAATAAATAGACAATAATTGTC